TATTGACCAGCTGCCCCCAGCCCCAACCCTGGAGCTGACTTTTGTGGAGCTCTCAAAGCACGTGGGGTAAGAGACAGGTTAGTGATACCCTTCAGTTCCCGCCGAGGCAGATCGTAGAGGTACTTGCCCGCCAGGTACTGATGCAGCGAATGTTGGTTTGAGTGGCTGGAGTCACCAGCTGTGGACAGCCCCTAAGCGGACTCACTAGGCACTGGCGGGTGATCTGTCAGAGAGTAATGAGTCCCCAGAGCTTCCGTTCCCACTCCAGTGCCTGTTATTAATGTCCTTTCGGGATGGATGGTGTGGAAATTCCATCTGCCACAAAGAAAGAAGCCTAAAAGATGGATCTGTTTCAGGATGAGGGTGGAAGCTGTCCCTTACAGGAAGCTGAGTGACAGCCACAGGGGAAAAATAAATGCTAGCTTGCAGCTGAGACGGACGCTTAGCAAACAGAGCTCCATGGCTACCCATGGACTCGGTTTGTTTAGGGGTGGTTTTACCACTCTGCTGGTGGCATGTGTAAACTTGACGAAAGCCATGAAATGTCTGGACACCTCATCCACTGTGTTGGATCAGAAGAAAAGAAAAATAGAATGTGAACTTCTGAGAGAGAACTTGGGTGGTCAGACCATGAGCTGAATGTTGCTTCAAAGGCCCCATGTTTTGGGTCAGAGTTCAGCAGACTTTTTCTATAAGGTTCAGGAAGCAAATGCTTTTGACTTTACAGGCTGAGTGATTTTTCCTGAGACCGCCATACTCAGCCCATCATAGCACAGAATTGGCCATGGACCATGCACAGGGGAATGAATATTGGTCTTTGGAAAAATCTTTACGTATGGATGCTAAAATTTGAACTTTGTATATTTTTTGATGTCGCAAAATGTGATCACTGTGATTTGGGGTTTTTGTTTGTTTGTTAGACAAGATCGTTCCACGTTTCTACATAGCCCAGGCTAGCCTCGGACTCATAATTTCCTGCTTCTTCCTCTTCGGGGTTCTGATTTACATGTGAGCTTCCATGCCAGGCTCTATCTGTTTTGTTTTATTTTTTAACTGCTTAAAAATGGAAAACCTACGAGAAGGAGGCAGAGACTCAAGACTCTGAGGCTAGCCTGGTCTACATAGCAAATTCCAGGCCAACTGGCCTTTCTCAAAACACATAAGGAAGTAAAAATCGCTTGCATTCGGTGGCTGCACATGAGCAAGGGGACACTAGCTGTGCCGTAGACAGCAGGGCCCCGCCCCATCCCTATCACCCTCCTCTGTGTTGCGGTAGGGAGAGAGTAGGTGTGAGATGCACAGATTGGAGAGGGTGCTCATCCTGTTGAACGTGTCACGAAAGACCACGTTTTGAGCTGCTTAAAGAACCAGGTTCTGTGTAACGGGGTAGCTCAAGCTTGGGCGCTTTGGGAAGTAAAGGGAGCCTCCTGGATGGGTTCTCCAGCCCCACGGGTGGAGGCGAACCGTGATGTGTGATGTGCCTGATGGGGCCTGCGGGTACCCAGGGTGGGGGGAGTCATGGGGGAAGTCCTTCTGTGTGCATGCTTGTCTTATTGGTTGATGAATGAAGCACTGTTGGCCAATAGGGAAGCGAGATAGGTGGGACTAGGAGCCGAGGAGGATTCTGGGAAACAGAGGCACAGTCAGTCACCACGTAGGACTCGAGCGAAGAGGTCCGGACCCCTTTCCTCCGGTAAGAGAAGACCACGCGGAAGTTCTCAGATGGGCAGTTATGGGTTAATAATTAAGTCGGAGCTAGTCAAGGAGAAACCATAGCAAGCGGCCAACAGTTTCATAATTAATATAGCGCCCTGCGTGTTCGTTTGGGGCTGACGCGGCTCTGGGACCAGGCTGGCGGGAAGAATGAACGTTAAAGGGGAGGCGAGCGGTGCCGAGAGCAGAAAGCTCTGGATGTGGTGGAGGGACTGGACATGTTGTAAGTCAACGCACATGGAGAAGGAACTGGGGGAGACTGGGCCTGCGAGTTAGCGCGAGGCTGACATTCAGGAAGTGAGGCGGTGGTGAGGCCACGTAGTGAGAGAGAATGACGTCATATGTCCCAGTGGCATCTGGTTATAGAGTGATTTGGGCCAGGCGGAGACTGCTTGTGGGAGCCCAGTTAAGAGACCACAGCAACAGTTTGAAGGGAGGATAAGAGAACCTAGACGCACTCCAGGCAGCAAGGCCAGAAAGTGGGAGATGGATGAAGCCAGATCAGAGAGGACGTCAAGAGAACTTGCCAACTGGATATAAAAGATGCTGAGACAACGGGAAATAAGGGGAACTCCCAATAACTTAAGTCTGGGTGGCCATGCATGTACCACAGTCATCGTTTAGAGATACAAGGAAAGGGGACATCTGTAAGCACAAATATGATTGGGATACAATTCATATGTTTGGAAATTAGATACAAGGGAACAAAGCACTTTTACAATTTGACTTGATGACTTTCATGTCAGAGGTCCCCAGGCTGAGTGTTTGGGGAGGCTTCCTGATGAACAGAGTGTGAGCAGCCTTGTGTTTTGGAAGAACGAGACTTTGAAAGGAGAGAGGCAATGAAGAGAGTCGGGCCTGTTTCTCCATTAATATTCCTTCTGGGACCCCAGGGGATGCAACCCACTTTTTAATTCCTACCACACTTCTCATTAACGTTTGCTGTGACAGTGAAAATGAGCCCACCTGAGGAAATGGTACCCAGGACTGCCCTCCAGCTCAGATATGACTGAGAATAACTCAGACAGAGAGTCTGCTAACCACTTATTTCAGTATTTGTCTGGGGAGTTTTTTAAAAAATTATCCAAATGGCATGCTTGATCTATAAGCCCACCTCGTTTCTTGCGGAGCGCTGGGATGTGGTTGCTGTCCAGAGCTCCAAAGACAGGACAAAGAAGCTGCAAGCTTATAAAGGAGGAAGAACCTGCTGTATTCCTTGATTCACACAATTTGACATAAGCTGTATTTTGTATTTGGTTCAAAAGAAAATACTTCCCAGTAACTTTCTAAGCACTGATTTTTTTCCTGGAGAGAATATGAAGAAAAGGACAGAAATAAATAGATAATTATAGCAGATAATTGTAATTACCTGAAAGTACATACATGTGCGCGCACGCGCGCGCGCGCACACACACACACACACACAGAAATACACAGAGATACACAAGCACACACATAAATGCAAATATACACAAAGACACACACATGTCTCACCTGTGCTAAAATATGAGTGTATCCAGATTCCTCCAAACTAAAATATTTTGCTTTGAAAATTCTCTCATACAACTTCCAATCCCATCAAATAGGCTGTAGGCTGTTGTTTTATTTTATTTTCCTTTCTCTAAACAGTATCCCCCATACAGCCAAGACTACCCCAACGTCTAGGTACTCCTGCCTGATCCTCCTTAGTGCTGGGATTACAAGCCTTCACCATGTGTGCCCAGACTTCTTGTTTTCTTTGGTTCTTATACTTAGTGATAGATTCACAGTTGTTTCAAATAAGGAAGCAGTGGTGTTTCGTACTTTATTGATACAACTTGAACTTTTAAGCCATTGGGAGCTGAACACGATATCATACTGGAAATAGGAAACATTTTGTTTTGAAATCCTTGGGTGTCAGCACTGGGAAGTCAAGAACACTGTATACATCTTCTGGAGGACTGGGCTCTGAGTCCCAGCACCCACATGGCAACTCACAACCATTTATAACTCCAGTTCCAGAAGAGCCAACACCCTCTTCTGGCCTCAGTGGGCACCAGGCACACAAGCGCTGGACGGATTACACACAGGCAAAACACCCACACGTATAAAATAGAAATTAGAACAGTGAAAAGAGAAACTTTGGGTGTTCTTCCTGATCCACTGGTTGCATTTTAACCCTGATTAGTAAATTAATGAATGTCTCAGAGCCACATTCTTTCTAACCCTAATCTGATGATGTCTATGTTGCATGGTTCTGGGAAGATTAGAGTTTGGAAATACTTTTAACTGCTTTTATCAGTGTTAGAATACCTATAGCTCTGTTCCTCAGAGAAAGATAATGTTGTCAGTCCTCTTTGTAAAATAACCACACCAAGAAAACCTACGTGGGAAAGAAGTGGATAAAGGGAGAAAGAATAAATTATTTTAGAACATGTGTTGGGATCGCATAAAAAATAAAACCATGTGATCAAACTACTTAAACTAAATTCCAAATTAGACTTTTTTGTTTGTTTGTTTTTGTTTTTTGAAACAGGGTTTCTCTGTGTAACCCCTGGAACTCTGTAGACCAGGCTGTCCTCTAACTCACAAAGATCCACCTGCCTTTGCCTCCTGAGTGCTGGGATTAAAGGCGTGCACCACCACCACCTGGCTTCAAATTAGACTTTTAAAAAGCACTCAAGGGCTGAGAAGATAGCTCTGAAGGTGTCTTGCTTGTACTGTAAGCAAGAGGCACCTTGCTTGAATTCAGATCCAAGAGAGGGAGTTCAGAGAACTTGCCAGTTGATTATATGAGATGCTGAGAAAGTGAGAAATCCCCTACAGGCATGTAAATGCTGATGGGTGTGTTACTTCTCCAGGGGATCTCCTGAGCCAGCTGGCCAGTGAGTCAAATCAGAGAGCTCTAGGTTCGAATAAGGGACCTGCCTCAATGAATTAGATGGAAATCGGTCAAGGAAGTGTCCTGATAACAACCATGCATTCAGACACGTGTGTACACTCATGCAATACATACATACACATAAAAAGAAAAGCTCTACTTGACGTTAGCGCATGCTGATCTCTTAAAAAATATTTCTCCAACTAATCAAGAGAGAATATATACTTAGACTCTGGGGGAGCTCTTGTCTGTGCTCTGCGTCCCCCAACTGCTACTTCAGTCTTTGGTTGAGCAGATACGCCATTCCTGCCTGTCAGAGCTGTGGGCCCCAGGAGATGGTAGCTGTTGCCCTCCTTCCCGTACATTTTTGTGTAGTGAACAAATCACTCGGGATGCCTTTTAATTCTTCATTCCTTTCTGTCTTCAGGAGTTGTACGGATCTTCTGTGCTGTGTGATCTTCACACTGTTTGTTATGGGCTACATTCTGTTAGGACTCGTGGGTGAGTAACCCCAGGTACACGCGGTATTTACTGTTTCTTAGTGGGTCAGCCAAGCCAGCATCGCATTTTAAGCATCAGTTGTTTTCTCCTTGTTATCGGCTGCTCTCTTCCCTGGACTTGTTTGGTAGTGGATAACAATACAAAAAAATCGATGCAAAGCCCGGTGGGCAAATGAAAGCTCCGTAACTAAGACAGCAGCAAGGAAGGGAAGGGAGGGGAGGTCTCTGGCCCCTTCCTTAGCAGACTCTACCTTCTAAATCCTAATGAAGAGCTAATCACGTCAGTGCGACTGTCTGCTGTCATAACTAGGAGCTGGCTTGGTTCAGGCCATCTATAAACCTGTGTATTCACAAGATAGCCAAGGGTAAGGCACAATGGTTATGCATTTCACCAGCTAACTCATTTTTTTTTAAATTGAATCCTATTTTCTTTGCCTATCAAGAAAGAGGCATTCTCGTTTGCTGTTAGGTTAAAGATTTTTCTAGACCGAAAAACAAAGAAGACAAACTCAAATATATTTTAAGGAAAATGGCACAAAATGAAATAAAAAATCATTGTATTTTTTTTTGGTAAAAAGATCTTATAGCTGGGCGGTGGTGGCACATGCCTTTAATCCCAGCACCCGGGAGGCAGAGGCAGGCGGATCTCTGTGAGTTCGAGGCCAGGCTGGACCGGCACCCTCCAAAACAATACAGAGAAACCCTGTCTCGTAAATACCAAAAAAAAAAAAATCTTATAATTGTAGTTAGTACACTAGACAGTTCCACCAAGAGGTGTAACCCTGTCTTCTAGGTATTGATTCAAGAAAACTTGGTTTGCCACTGTAAGGGTAAGAGCTGTGGAAATCAGATCTTAAGCTTCCAACACCAATAATTATTGACCTGTGGTTAACATTGAGAGAAACTTGCCCCATGTTTCAGAGCACTCGAAAAGATTTTGGTTTTTCTTTTTATCCCCTAGTAAGAGATCTGTCCTGAGAATGGAAATTAAAAGTAACCCGGCCTCCCAAAAAGTGACTCCCCTAAGTTAATGTCTGTGTCACTATGCAAACTATACAGAACTGTATAAAATCTAGGACAGCAGAGCGCAGAGAAGGATAAGCAATGTGCTCTGATAGGGCTCACAGAGTATTTTTCTTTCTCCTAAATATTTTAACTTTGGAAATCCCAAGCGTTAGTGTAGATTGAACACAATCTGTGGTTTGAGTAGTATAAAATATTTTCATAGCCAGGTGGGATTTTAGTCTGTCAACTTTAGGACACATTTTTCTAGTCTACAGAAACAGATGTCAATTTTTACTTACTGTCATAGAATTACAATGTGTGGTAAAAGAGTGGGAGACTTTGTATTCAGGCAGGTCTAGATTCTTATACTATTTTGTGGGGGAGTGTAGACAACTATTTAAACATCTCATGCCCTAGGAAGAATAGAAACATTCCCTGGTTTTTCAAGGCCAGTTGTGTGGGAAAAACTGCAGTGTCCAACCATTGTCAGCAGTGCTAGTGAGAGTACTAGATAATGCATAAATAATTTAGTTGTTCTAAATTGCAATACATTTGTTTTCCATGTGATTGACAACCTGTAATTTTGGCTATTAAAGTTTGAGTGTACACAGGAACTCTCCAAAGGGCTCCTGCTGTGTGCAGAGTCTTCCCACACGAGGCCTAAGTCAACAGTAGGCTGGGTCTCTGTGTAGGGTAGGTCTCTGTTCTTATAGGGACTGTCAAGTCAGCTCTGCTCCTGGTAGGGTCAACGGAGGAGTGCCCAACATAAGTGCCTCTGGAGCAAGACAAGAATGCCACCTTTATGTTCAAGGTCTCCTAAATGTTTTAATTCACGTAGCAAATTGTCTTAGTGGTGGGTCACTCACCTGGCGCATCCATGAAGAACACAGCTAGCTTCGAGAATTAATGGGAATTGCAGGAAGGAGGAACAGCACTCCTTACTTTAGGCCTATTCCTGACAAATTGGAGAACAGATCAAAGTCAGTATTGGACATTAAATTAATTCGGCATTTAGCCCGTGGTGGCGCACACCTTTAATCCCAGCACTCGGGAGGCAGAGGCAGGCGGATCTCTGTGAGTTCGAGGCTGGGCTGGACCGACAGTCTCCAAAACAATACAGAGAAACCCTGTCTCATAAAACCAAAAAACAAAAATTAATTCAGCATTTCTCCCAAATTAATCCCGACACCACTGCTGGAAGCAAATGACTCAAGAAACACACTAACTACCCATAATCTTACTTGATCCCTCAACGATAGCTAGCTTCGTTTGCTGGATTTCAAACTATTAGCTCCATCCCTGCTGTAGTTAATAGTAGGCTGGAAGAAGACTGAAGGGGAACAATTGGCAGGGACAACTAGAGATGTTAGGAAAGGCTGTAAGCGAAAGAATAATTGGCTTCCCTCGAGAAGTCACCTTCACTGGTGGTGTTGGCACCGTGGTACCTGGCCATCTCTGTTAGATCAGGGCCCTGGCGGGCGCACCGTTTATCTGTAATGTTTTCATGAGTGCTACCATGCTTGCATGCCTTCTAGTTACTTTCCTGTCGCTGTAGTAAAAGTACTATATTCAAGGCAAAAGAAGAAGCTAATTTGGCTTGTGGTTCCGGAGGGCAAGGGAATCCTTCCTGGAAGTGGCAGATGACAGCAGGGAGCTGAGCAAGCTCATCTCTTAGCACAAGCCATAAGCAGAGGGAGAAAACTGGATATTGTGTTGCCACGGACTGATGGATGTCTTTGGGACCATGATCGGGACCAGCCCAACTACCCCGGGTCCGTTCCTGAGTGGCAGAGTGTGGATGAGGGAAGGCTAGCTGTCTGGTGTTAAAGATCATATCAGGAGAGCTGGGTCAGTTAAGACGGAAAGCCTCCAGTTTATTCTTGCATCATCTTAAGTAACCATCCAAAGGTGGGGGCTATGGAGGAAGACATCTACTATCGTGTATACATGGCCGATAGCAATTATTTCCCTTGATCCTAAAGATATTCCTTTGCAGCCCATACTCAAGCCCTCAGGTATGCTACCCCAGCATGCGCTTCACTAGCCTTCTGGGTGGCTGTAAATTCACCCTGGCCCAAATCTATTGTTATTTAGATAGGAGCCATTCTCCACTGAGGCTAGGACATCCAGCAACTATTAGCTGACATCTAAAAGACAACAGAAATCTAGGCTCTCCTGAACTCAGGGCAGGGTGGAATAGATTTCCAAATATACAGCCCCCGACATGGTGTGAGGCTTTAATGCTCAATACTCAGTGCCCTTCCCAACTATGTGCTTCTTCCAGCAACAATGCCCTTCATAAGCCTCCCTAAATAACAGTGTCATCTTGGGGACCAAGTGTTCAAAGACCCAAGCCTATGGGGAGCATTTCTCATTCAACCCATCACACTATGGAGGAGCCATTTCTGTTTCTCACACACACACAAAAAAAAATCAACGAGGCAGATACTTTCAGTTGTGGAAGGCTTGAAGATGTGTTACATTCATTTATGCCCTGGAATATTTGTTAATGATGCAAATCTGTGTTGCATTATTTTATGTTACATTTGTTTAGCTCTGTGAAGCTATGTTGCTTTGCCTGCCTAAAACACCTCATTGGTCTAATGAAGAGCTGAGTGGCCAATAGCTAGGCAGGAGAGGGAATAGATGGGGCTGCCAGGCAGAGAGTAAATAGAGGAGAAAAAGAGAAGAAGGAGGAGCACAAAGAACCACCCAGCCACACAGCTTCCCAGCCACACAGCCACACAGCCACACAGCCACCCAGTCACATAGCCACACAGTCACATAGCCACCCAGCCACCCTGTCACCCAGTCACCTAGTCACCTAGTCACCCAGCCATGCAATCACGCAGCCACCCAGCCATACAGCCACCCAGCCACCCAGCCACGCAGCCACCCAGTCACATAGCCACACAGTCACACAGCTACCCAGCCACACAGCCACACAGCCACCCAGTCACCCAGCCACCCAGCCATGCAGCCAGCTATGGACTAAGAGGTAAAGAAAGGTATATAGAATAGAGAAAGGTAAAAGCCCAGAGGCAAAAGACAGATTGGATAATTTAAGAAAAGTTGACTAGAAATAAGCCAAGCTAAGGCTGGTCATCCATAAGGAAGAATAAAAGTCTCTGTGTACTTATTTGTGATCTGGGTAGTGGATCCTCAAAGAGTAAGAGTTTAGAAACCAGTACACTGTCTTTGTGCTTTGTGCGGGGGTGTGGCCAGCCAGGGTAATGCTTGCATGTGAGGAAGGCACTTATCGTTCAGCTGACAGAAAGAAAGTCTCTTATTGAGGGTATGGAGTGGGGGGTCGGGTAGAAGGGAATCCAGTCTCCACAAATGATCACACAAACATTTATGATAATAACTGTCTTTGTCCTTCTTCACAGGTGGCTGCTCTTCAATTATTTCATTAATTAGAAAAAAGACACAGGAATTCTTGTTATGCAAATTGTTTTCTGCAAACGCTGAGCTAACATTATCCGTATAAAAAAACACCACAATTTTAACATTCAACACATTTCCATTTTGTTTTTCTCTCTAAGTGCATTTCCACTTTAACAGCTTAATCCCATGGCTACATTTCTTAAGATGTACCTCAGGTTGGAGCCCAAAGTCTGTTTGGTTTTTAATGTCTTCCTGGAGTAAATCACCCCTATTAGCTGAGAAGATTGGGAAGTTAGTAGGAACATTCATGCAGACAAGCCCAGATCTCTGTGCTCCTACCTTGAGAAACTCAAGAGTAAGGAAAAAGCCTCCAAGATGGGGTGAGGACAACAGTCTACACTGGGCATCCTGGGAAAATTATCCTGTTACGATGTCGACTTTCTATCTGGCAGACCCCAAGTAAAAGCCAAACTTTCCCCCACATCTCCAACTCCTCGGTTTATGAGGAGATGCAGGCACCTAAACACAGTATGCCTGAAGGAAAGCCAGCAGAGAACCAGACAGCCCGGCCCAGGAAGTAGGAGCAGGACCTGAGGGTTAGCGTTGTCT